ATCGTTAATTTTACCTTACCATATCTCTCCACTCCTTGAATAAATATAGTCGAATGCATGCATATTGTTAAGATTCCCTTGTCATGGCTCATATTTTATTTCAATCTTAATTACATTGTTATTATTACAGCACCTGCCCTACCTACCCCTATGTTTCTTAAACCCTTGTATCTCTTTTTCTATGACACCGCTTTCTAGGAGCAGTGAATGTTCTCTTTCCTTTTCCGGCCGTGGAAGCTCGAGTGGCGCTGGCTGTGCTAGTTTCTTGCCGCCTCCACCTCCACCCCCTACTTCTATGGCCTGCACCTATTCATCTCTTCCACACACATCGCTTCCAACACCACCACCGCATTCTATAGCTTTGCTTCACTCTGCCCAATGTCTTACTCCGCCGCCTCCGATTCCACCTCATGCCGGACTTTCAGTGACCTCCGTTACTCAGCCTGGCCATCACTTGCTCCGAAATGCCTCTCCTGGACCTAAAATTTCACTGTCTCCTCCCGAGCCACTACAACACTTCAGTCAGGATTTCGATGCATCTAGACGTGTCATTAGTGAGGCCTCAGGTTGCTGTAGCAATCTTCTGCATCAGCAGCACCAATATCAGAATAATGCAAAGCATTGTCCTCATCCACAATCTAGCCAAAACAAAATATCTTCTGAGTTCTTGATGCAGTCGCATCAGCTTCAATGCCAACCGCAGCAGCATTCGCATCATCTGCCTGACGGAATGTTTCCTCACCACCAGCACCAGCCTGTTGTAAAGTCGACGACCGAATCTATGGCATCTTTTGTAGCAGACGATTATCATTCCGAAGAACCCGTCTCGACTATCGAAGTGATGGAAGTGGCAAGTGGAGGTATGATAAGTTAAAACTCTTTGGGCTGATATAAAACTTTGAATGATGATTACATTTTAAAGGCCTAGATGTCATGTTGAATTATTCTATGTGACCTTAAAATTCCCAGTTTTTTGTAGATAAATGACAAGATGAGTGGAGGAATGGAAATCATATTATGTGGGGAACTAGTCCAAAAAAATTAAACGGCAAATGAGTGAAAATTTTAGAAAATCGCATTCATAAACATATATATTTTCTACTCATTTCATTTCGTTAGAGAAGGCGAGTAATAGGGATTTGTAAATTTAACACACCATATACCGAATAACTTGGGCTGGTGATTATTGGTTTACTGTTCTGTCACCCCGATGGATACATACGGAGCCTTAGTTTATCATGTGACTGACATCGTTGGAGCAAAAACCAATCAACTCTTGATTTAGTGCTTTTCAGTGATTGTTCGTAACTGATGGTGTCTTGCTTTGGCGATGACTTTCACACGATAGACGAACGCTCAGCACAGATTCAGCTGGGTTTCTTCTCCCAATCCAACCATCGCAAGCACAAGGCAACAATTCAGTATCCGGGGCATGGAATTGAATTTACAAATCCCTTTCACTCGCCTTTTCAAATGAAGTGAAAAGTATGCCAACATCAATTTCTCTAAAGATTTTTCGAAATCCATCTTCTCTTCATATATATTTACTTATTTACCAGACTAGCTTGAATTTGTCCATTTTACCCTCTTTGAGCTGGCTTTGTCTCTTGGCTTATGTCTCAATCCTTTACATTTTACTTTACTTAAAACAGAGAAAAAACTTGGTTCATAGCTTGTTCATGTATTTTTTACCAACTCACATGTTGTGGCTGATTAACTTTATTTTCCTTAGTAAGCATTCTTGTTAGCTGATAGGAGGACCACGAGTTCCAAATTAGTTGCTTAATAGTAAAAAAATGACTGATCAAGACAGCATTGCAAAACATATTATGCAGTTAAGCATATTTGTTAAAATATTGAAGATATTTTGCACAACCTGTTTGCACCTCTTCATAATATCTATTACTGGATGAGATTTGCATTGCCGTTTTACGGGTCACTTTGTACACATAAAATTCGTTAATTAGTGAAATATATGTTTATTTTTGTTAAATCTACCCAATAATGCTGCTTGAATTTCTAATTTATGTCTAGCCGATTGAGTTACTTTACGAAAATTATTTCACTTATTTGCATATCATAACTGTACCACAATTTTATGGCCGACTTGTTCTAATTTATTCGCTTCTAACAGGCTCCATCAAGCCTTTTCTTTATCCTGAGGTATTCTCTTGGAAGCCTATTTTTTATGCCACTATGACAGCTTGAAGAAAGTCTTAGTTATTTCCATTCCTTTAAGAGCAAGTTGAGCTTATCTTAGCTGGTTTTTCTATTATTTTATTTTCATTCATCCTGCTTGTATTTCTTAATTTCCTGGACGGCATTGTCTATAGTTTGTTAAAAATTTCAATTTTTCAACATTAAACCTTCCATTATAGCAATCTCTATTTAGTGAAATTTCAAATTTTTGATCATTTTTGTTTAATCTGCATGCGCTCTTTGCTCCCCTTAAATTTTGCTTCCAATATCAAGTTGATATGGTAAGAAGCATCCCACTTTAAATTTTAGCTGCTCCAAATAAAATTATTTTTTGAATATTTAATCAAAGTCTAAACTGCCCCCAAATTAATTTTTTTTATTTGTATCTTCAAACTTTTGATTTCAGTTAATCCATGCCATCTCTAATCAAACTCGCAGCTAATTTATACCTTTAGCTATTCCTCGCCATTATGTGCACTCACGACCATGCATATACACATACGCATGTATGAATATATTCACTCCTAAATTCTTTCTAACTTATCAACATAAAATGCCTTCTTA